CTATTTTTTATGATTTTCTTTATTTTTTATCTTTAAAAAATATAATAAAAGAAAAACAATGTCAAAAAATAATGAAATTGTACAGACACGATTCTTACATTTTTTTTTAGGCATGCCAGAAAAAAATAGCCTCAAAAAATGACAAAAGAGTAAAACGTTGTCAAAAAGCCTCCGGCCCGCTCAGTGAGGCGTCTAGGGGCAAGCTCAGGGGCCGGGATGGGTCAAAAATTTACATTTTTATTTATTTTTTGCTTTCTATAAGTAATATATGAGTTTTGGGAATTAATGCAATAAGCGGAATAATTTTTTGATGAATATTCTATTTTTTATGATTTTCTTTATTTTTTATCTTAAAAAAATGTAATAAAATAAAAATGACGTCAAAAAATAATGAAATTTTGCAGACACATTCCTTACATTTTTTTAGGAATTCCAGAAAAAATGGCCTAAAAATGACAAAAAACGCTGTCAAAAAGCCCCCAGCCCACGTAGTCGGGTGCCTAGGGGTCAGCTCAGGGGCTGGGATGGGTCAAAAATTTATATTTTTATTTATGTCTTGCATTTTAAAATTAATATATGATATTAAGGAATTAATGCAACAAGCGACACCGTTTTTTAATGAATATTCTATTTTTTATGATTTTCTTTATTTTTCTTCTTTAAAAAATATAATAAAATAAAAACGACGTCAAAAAATAATGAAATTTTACAGACACGATCCTTACATTTTTCTATGAATGTCAAAAAAAAAGGCCTAAAAATGACAAAAAAGGTAAAATGTTGTCAAAAACCCCTAGCCCGCGTAGTGGGGTGCCCAAGGGCCAGCTCAAGGGCCGGGATGAGTAAAAAATTTATATTTTTATTTATGTTTTGTATTCTAAAATTAATATATGATATTTAGGAATTAATGCAACAAGCGACACCATTTTTTAATGAATATTCTATTTTTTATGATTTTCTTTATTTTTCTTCTTTAAAAAATATAATAAAATAAAAACGACGTCAAAAAATAATGAAATTTTACAGACACGGTCCTTACATTTTTCTAGGCATGGGAAAAAATGGCCTCAAAAAATGACAAAAAAAAGTAAAATGATGTCAAAAAGCCCCCGGCGCGCGCAATGGGGCGCCCAGGGGCCAGCTCAGGGGCCAGGATGGGTAAAAAATTTACATTCTTATTTATGTTTTGCATTTTAAAATTAATATATGATTTTTAGGAATTAATTCGGCAAGTGGCACCATTTTTTTATGAATATTCTATTTTTTATGATTTTTTTTATTTTTTGTCTTTAAAAAAATATAATAAAATAAAAACGGCGTCAAAAAATAATGAAATTTGGCAAACACGATCCTTACATTTTTCTAGGCATGCCAGAAAAAATGACGTGAAAAAAAGACAAACAAAAAGTAAAACGCTGTCAAAAAGCCATCGGCCAGCGTAGTGCGGCGCCCATGGTCCATCAGCTATTGAACTTTAATTGCTAATGATTTCAAAGTTTAGGGTGTATTTTATCAACATTGAAAGTTCAAGGTACCTTATGTAAAAAATGAATAGTTTATGGTGCAATAATGCAATTTACACTTATAATTTTAAGTGATTGATGGACTCAAATTTGTGGATTGTATTTTTTGACGTGCCATTGGTTAAAGTTTGGACATACGATTTTATGGATAATTGGAAACATATTGATATGAAATCTACAACTTTGTAATAAAAAAATAATAATATTCCCTTGAGCATTAATTTCGGCTCTTGCATAAAAGATCTCAAACATATTTGATTAGTTGGTACCTTATAAACAAAATAATGTTTATGACAAGATGTTAAATACATTATCCATTAGAGATCAAGAGTGCTTAAAGATGAAGATGTAAGGAGGGAGGTTTGGGGAATAAACCCCACTTATGGATATTATTGTGCATAGTAAACCTATAAGAATTTTATATCGATGGAAAATCTTCAAAATTAATATATCAAGCTCCCTATGATTCCACATAATTTGAGGATGCAACTTTTATTTTTTAGGAGAATAAATCAAAGTTAATAATCGTATTTTAATTGATTATGAATTAATTAAATTAAAGACAAATTACACGGTTGTCTCATAAATTATAGGCAGTGTCACAAAATATCCCTCAACTTCAATTTTGTAATGTTCGTTTCCCCCAAACTTTAGAAGTCTTGTAAAATTTCTCCTTTTAAAATTTTGAAGAAAAATGACATGTGACGCTCATTAATAATAAGAGTTGTGGAATTGAAAATGTAATTACAAAATTGCCCATTCAATTACTTGTCTCTTTTTTGTTAAAAGAACAAAAGTATCCTCATGCCTTACCACAAAAAGAAAAGAAAAGAAAAAAAAAAAAAAAAGAAGAACACTTAGACCATTTGATCCCTAACACAGACGAAACCCTAATTGCCCAGCAACCCCAATCAACCTCCTACAAGACTACGATAACCTTGAACCACTTCCTTTCCGACAAAACCCACCACCCGTTCGGCGACTCACCACTGCCCCGTGAAGCCCGCGAGTCCACTAACCTCATGAATTCACCCGCTTAGTTCGAGAGGCAACCGTGTAGTTTGTCCTTAAAATAAATAATGATCACTAGATATTAAGTTAGGTAGGTCTATTTAGTCTACATGCTAGCTCAAAATATTTCTTGGCACGAATCTTGAAATTAATTGAAATTAACGCACTAATTTGACATTGCCTTAAAGATCTTCTCAGGTACTTTTACTGGGTTAGATTTTTTCTGGCCTTAAGGAATTGTCAGGAACATCCCTTTAGTGCTTTATCTTATTTTGAACCTAATAAATAACAAGAATCTAATCACGCTCCGTATGACTTAAACTTTTAATGATATAGTGTTTCAAAACCTCAGTTCTAATGAATTGAACTAAGAGCGCTTTATTATCACACAAAATATTTTAAAACCTAACTGACCTAGGATATATATACTATCATGAATGAGAAAATTAAAGACTAATGATGTATATCCAATATTAATTTTCAAGGAATGAGAATAGTGTGCAAGATCATGGAACACTTATTCCTTAGGAAATATAAGCAAAATAATTTTATAAGATCTCGTTCATTTCACCGACTCGAGTTTAGAATTTGAGTTTTGTTACAGTAAAAAATTCTCAAAAACAGTCACATTTAACTTTTTTATTATAATAAAAAACTCTTACATAAAATCACATCTCAACTCGAATTAAACACGAATCAGGGAATTAAACGAGTCTTAAAATTTACGACATATATCATGGGATGCAATAAGTTTTCATAAAAGTTTTTGAATTCCATTTTGCGGCATCTTACAGAATTTTACAATCAAACCAACAAAAAAATAATAATAATATGAGCTATTGAGAATTTTTCAATAAAGCCTGATAATTTTTTTTCCCCCTTTCTCAATCTTGGTTTCTATCATTTCGTAAGAGATTTGGGTTGGATGTGATGTGCCATAACTTTGGCACTTTTTTCCCCACCTTCTTCCTTCATGCTTCGTTTGACCCACAACCGTGTAAGGTACCACACGGTTTAGTACAAAATGACAATAAAGTACTCAGTCTGCAGAGCAAGCTCCAAAAATTGTCCAGATTCTGCATATAATTGAGTACCGCCGATTGGAATTCTCTGACGGTCCATTTATTTACTCAAAAAATACGAGAATATATTTATTTACTCAAAAAATACAAGAATATAACAACAAAAAATCAACACTAAGCAAGCTAAATGGCATGAAAAGAATTAACCACGTCTTTGTTGTGACCTAGAGATTGCCAAACCAAGTCTGGCTTGAAGTTTAATATAGGGACCGAACATATATACTATATAGTATTCTAGACAACATAAGAAGGGAAAATGGACCCTCTTAGACAGCTACAAACAAACAACTTGTATATATATATATATATATAGAAATTATACAAGCAAACAACTATGTCCACTTTACAATATAAGCAACTATGTCCACATTACAAAGCATATTTGAAAAGGTGTCAAACCAGCTTCACGGTTTTGTTTCTCAGATGCCCTGCACACTCATCACTGCCCAAGTACCGATATTCATCTCTCTCTCTCTCTCTCTAAGTTATGACTCGGCATTAAATTCTTTTCTACAACCGACAGCTAATATCTGGCATGGTCTATTTATTTGTTTGTTTGAATGAATGAATGATTGTTCAGTATTCAAGACAAGTATGAAAGCTAGCTTGTCTCGTTTTCAGTCTCTAGGAGTGTGCAATTGATCATTAATGGAGGTTTTGGTAAAAGTAAGATACACCAAAAAGTGTAAAATATCAAAATTTTGTTGGGTTGATGTTGTATTGTTAGAAGGTTACCATATTAACTGTTGGCGTGGTGATTAGTGCTCAGTAAAAATGGTGCTCGTGACTTCTTTTGTTTCAACTGCCAACACTCAGGACATATTACCATGACTCACAAGCTTAGGAAATGTGGGGAATTCTGAGCATGTAATGTTGCAGGGCCTCGTGAACTATGCTCAGAACTTTCACTTGCGGTCCAAACTCTCATTAATATTTATTAAAATCCCCTATAAGACAAGTTGATTGATTAATTGGCGCCATATGGACTAGTTCTTGACCAGAGAGCTAACAAATACACTTCTTCTAGATGAGGATATGTCTAAAAAAGCGATTCTATTAGGTTCAGCATAGCAATTTTTGAACGTTGAAAACCATCTCAGTGGGCCACTGTATTTCTTACCGAACTAGCTCCGTGTTAGGACATGTAGCGTTTTTGACCTAAAAATGGAATGAAAGCCTTGGGATCAAGTGCCAGCTAATTGAGTGTAAATCAAGTTTCTTTGTAGGCAAACTCAAGAACATGTAATCGAATCACACTTTAATCAGAATTAGAGAGTTCATAAGAAAAGAGAAATTATTGGAATTTGGAAGAAATAAAAATATAACATTACACATGAAAGTATCATGTACCAATATATATATATATATATATTTTTATCCTCAGCTACTAAAGTTTTTCTTGATCTTGCTCATGCTTGTTTTTATACAAAAAACAGTTACACAACAGATTACAGAAGCGACATTAATCATTAAATTTTCTTTTATACCCCTTCCCACCATAACCACTATCTATACTAAAGTCTAAAAGAAAGACAGAATGAAGCTCTACTCTTGTCCCACAACCTTTGAGCCCGCCCCCCATCGCTCCATGGCCATAATTCACTCTCAGATCACACCCTCCATCAGCCACGTCATTATATGGGCCCACTTGTCTCTATTCCCAACTGTACCAGTTACTCCACCAAAGAAAAGCAAAATCCGTGAATGAAGCACGTGCGTCCACGCGCCACCGCACTCTTCCAAACATGTAGGAGCTCAGTTACAGAAAAAGCACCGGCGATAGCCAAATCAACCGTTTTATATACAATTCCCCTATTGCCAACCATCACCAGCATTACCACTGTCTGATCTTAAACTCCTCAAAAGATCCAACAGCCTAAATTGTGGAAAGAAAAAAATACTTGAAGTACTATTAATATTAAACACTGCAACTAATAGAAAATGAAATATTTTATATGTATGATGTCGAACATCACCGGTATGTTTTAGCATTGTTTTTAAATTGAACTATTTATATAAACAATGCTATAGCATACCGGTAAAGGAATGTTTTACATCTCATACTACGACCCACCTCGTATTAGTTGTAGTGCTTAACGCTATTGCTGCTGCCCTGACCATTTTTCATCTATATCGGAGCAAAAACAAAAACAAAAAAAATACAAGAAGCGCGTGGAAGTCCTCAAAACCTTCAACTTGCCGGAGAAGAAGTCGCCGGAGACAAGTATACCTGACTCTGAAACACCATCTTTCCGATCTTGAACCCCGGAACCACCGTGAAACCCACTCGGAGGTCCGCCTCGGGACTCACGTCGTCGAGCTCACCGGACGACGACGAGAAGAGCACGTCTTGTGTCACGCACTCCATGTAAACCTCGGAGAATCTGGACTCTTTCCTCACCTGAAAAACCATAACTTCTTCGCCGAACGAGAAGGCCAGGCAATGGAGAAGCCAAACCCTCTTGGCCATTTCCGCGAACGCATTGAAGAACGGCGTTTCCGGGTACCCGCATGACGTCACCATCTTCCTCTGGTTCAGGTTTCCGAAAACAGAGCACTCCATTTTCGCGTGAACCAGCTGGGTATATTTCACTCTCAGGAATTTCCCAAACGACGAGTTTGGGTTCTGCGTAAAGAGGTGTTTCGGACTCACCGGTCTCAGCTTCTTGAACTTGTCGAAGAAAATTTCTGATTGAGAATCACACTCGCCTACTATTTTGCTGTCGTTTTCGAGGTTGAAGGTGGGAAAGTTGAATCCTTCGAACATGGTTTTCGAAACGAAAGATTCGAAAGCGAAACATCTGTGGTTTTTCGTCGAAAAACAACAGTTGGGCTCGATGAACTTTACGGCCAAATCGAGATCCCAATTCGCAGACTCCATTTCTCTCACCAACAACTTGACGAAGTTTCTCACTGATCTCAAACACCCTTGCAAGAACTGAGAAAAATGCGTCTGAGTCAGCGAAGAAAGCTTTATATTATCGAAAGCGGACAACGACCCGCTCGCGTTCAGCTTCTTCTCCATCGTTCTGTTGATTAAAACGGCCTCTTCGAGGCATTTCCTAAGAAAGGAGATCTCCGAATCCTTTTTGTCAACCTCTGACTCAAGCTTTTTAATGGTGATCTCGTAAGTCTTCATTACCGCTTGCTGTTCTTGAATCTCGGCGAGCATAATGGTGACCTGGGGAGACAAATCGAGCTCTTTCTTTAAAAAACTTCGTTTAAGCTCCGAGATCGCTTTGAGCTCGTCGACGACGGCCTGATCAGAGGCCTGAATGAGGTCGCTGTTGTAAGGATTCTGGGCCATCTGGAGCTCGGCATAAGCGGCTTTAATGGAGGTGATCCCGGCGAAAAGCTTCGCGACAAGAGCTTCCATGACGGCCCTGTTCCGAGACTTGAGATCTTCGGTGAACTGCTTACTGCCATAACTGTTGTTATAACGTTGTAGTTCATCGTCATCTTTTTCTCTGACGACTCTGCAAGACTGAGGATTGAGCATGCAAATGCCATTGTTGGAGGCGATTTTCGACGCGGTTTTGAGGTTTATCACTTTCTGAAATGTTCTTGCTAATTTGCTCTTGTTGTTGTTGTTGTTGAAAGCTGATTTGGGTTTTAGTGTGTCCATTAAGTTGAAATTACTCGGAGGGAAAATGAAAAGGGTGTTTGGGCATAAGGAAAAAGAAAAAGAAAAAATATTTGGTTGGTTTTTGGTAAAGAAAAGAGAGTATGGGTTGAGAGAGAAGAGTGAATTGAAACGGAAAGAAAGTGGTTTGAAAGAGAGTGATTTTAATGAGAAAAGGCAAAGCACAAAACTTTGACTATAATGTCGTAATGGAGATTTCAATAGGCCGAAGATGAAGGCCTGAAGAAATGATAATAATAATAATAATGATAAAGTGGGATTTTAAAGCGCGGGAAAGAAATTAAGAAAGAGAAAAAAGAAAAAAAAAAGGATTGAGCAAGCTGGTAGTAACTGAAGACAAGTACCAAACGGCAGAACAAATACTTCTTTTTTTTTCTTTTTCTTTTTTTCTTTTTCTTTTTTTCTTTTTTTTTTGGATTTGGAAGTAGAACAAATACTTTTTTCTTAAGAAATAAAATAAAAATTGGGTAGTTGGTTAATATTTTGGGTTAATTCTAGGTATGATTGTCTAATTTTACCCTCAATTCCACTCTGGTCATAACTGTTGTCATCTGTTTATTTTACTGATTTGAGTTTAGAATTTGAGTTTTATTACAATAAAAAATTTTAAAAAATAATCACATCTAATTTTTTTATTACAATAAAAAACTCTCACATAAAATCACATCTTAATTTAAATTAAAAACTTAAATGTTTATGGTTTGTTTTAATTTTAGCCTCATTGGGTATTTTAATGGTTGGAACGTGTATATGATGCTGATTGAAAATTGAAGTTACATAAAATATTCATGGGATGATGACAAATATATATATCTGTTAAAGAAATGAAAATTGAAACAAACTGATAAATTAAAATCTCAAAATGTTTTGTAAGTCAGACACTAAAATAAGATTGAGGACAAAATTGGAAACCGCTCAATTAGATTAACCCTAATATTTTAGGTGGTGGTATACAGAGGGATGATAAGTGGTGGACCCCAGGCTGTGAAGCTGCTGATGACTACCATCAAATCACGGGGCCTACCTGCCATGTACGTCCATTAGAGGCTCTCAACCTCTGGTGTTTGACTGTAGGACTACATGATTAACGACCTTGATGCATGAACTAGGAATCTGTATAGATGAATACGTACTTCCGTATTATGAAAGGAGAATTCTCCCATGAGATACGTAACTATCCGTATTTTTTAATTTTAAAAACAAATCTTATAAATTCTCCTTAATCTTTATTATTTATATCAACATGCCTCATGAATTATAAAATATACATATGCTCTTAAATTTTATCATTTATATCAACATGTCTTTTTAAGTTAATTCCGTTAAGTTTTCTAACATAAATGTTTATAAATACCGTATAAATTTTATAAGTGTTAATATACCCTATGAACTTTAATATATATAAATATATTACTTTCAAACTGGCATCGTTCATTTCACCGATTTGAGTTTTTAGTTTTAGGTTTTTATAGTAAAAAACTCTCAGAAAATATCACATCTAATTTTTTCTGCTATAATGAAAAATTCTCAGAAAATATTACATCTAAATTCAAATTAAAAACTTAAATTCACAAAGTGAACGAGCCCCTCTAACTTTTTCACTTTATTTTGATTCTATCAGTTTTTTTTAAATAACGTGAACAACCATTTACTATGAATATAATTGTGTTTTAGACAGTTTTACTGCAGAATTCTTTTTCCTAATAAATTTCTTATGATGTCTAAATTGTTTTAGTTAGAAATCAGAGACTAGCAGGGAATGAAAATCCTTGAGGAGGGCTACTTGAGTTTCTATTTTTGACTTGAGAAAAAACTAGAGTTTGTGATCAAAAGCAATAACCTGATTGAAGTGGGATCTACAGTTATATATGGCCAAGGAGAGAGAGTACAAGTATTATGAGATTCTTGGGTCCTCTTCTTTGCAGAATTCTTTAATTGTTTACTTTATTAATGCTTCAGGATTTTCCTAGTTCATGGATGGCCATCTGGCACGTTCTTTTGTTCATAAAATTTAAAAAAAGACAACTCAAATTTTAATTTTGTTTAAGTTCACGTTCTTTTAAGTTTTAATTTTATTTAATTTTACTCAACTTTATTCAAGTTCTAACTTTAACTCAAGTTATAACTTAAAAATTACACTCAAGTTACACTCTAAAAGAACAACCCCAATTGTAACCGGGTTGGAATCGCCGGATTGTTACTATTTTTATTTTTTTTATTTTTTTTTTGCAAAACCCTCAAATTAGAATTATATAAAATGAAGAAAATACCGATATAATATAATTTGATCAACATCAACCATTCGAAACTGTACCCTCCTATAATTTTTTTTTCCTATTAATTGTTCAAGACTATAGTCATGAATGATGACAGTGGGGGAACTATTTGAGACCGAGTGAGGGTAGACATATATCCCCCATTAAGTTGTTTTCTTTTATTTTCTAAAATAAGCTTTAAAATTTATGATTTCTTAATTTTACCCCACTGAGATACGGATTTTGCATGTATATGTCCACTGAATTTTATTTTAGTGTATGCTCCAACTGAAGTAGAAAATTGGTTCGTCCACTTAATGAAGGTATACGTACGTAGTTGAATTTGAAAGTAACTTGAAATGCGGACAATAATAACATAATCAAATTATTATAATTTATATGATTAGCAAAAAAAATTACAATCATTTATAGACATAATTCCTCTCATGAATCATATATTTTAAATGTTAGGTCTTGGAATACTAATTTGACTCTTACCTAGTAAAAAGGACTCTATCCTTATTAATCCATGAAATACATTGAATAATAAGAGGTTATGGGATGTATAATAATTAAAAATAATGTATGAGAAACAGACCCCTTTTTTTATAATTTACAAAACAAAAAAAAACAAAAAACAAAAACTACTTGTTTAAAGGTTCAGCAATTTTTTTTTCGATTCTGTATATGATGTGACATCAATGACTTAACTTATTGGCAAAACTAGAAATCAAAATAAAATCTTACTGGAAAAATATGTGATTAATCATTTAATTGTCCCCCACGTGAAGTACTGCCAACTTGTATCTTGCAAGTCTCAAAGTGTACTAAACAGATGTGTTTTTCAAACCGAATTCTATTTCAGCGTTGAATTAAGAAGGCAAATAAGTAGGGACAAAAAAAAGTGGCGCTAATTTTATGTTTTCCGGCATCAACTGTATTAAAATTTATTTATTTAACATATTTTTTTAATTTAATCTGATTTTTATATGAATTATTATAAAAAATTAACACTATCAGTAAGTTTAACCTACTAGAAAAACTCTTAAATAGAAAGCATAACAAATAATGGTTTTCAATATCTAAATTTCATTAGGATGAGAACAAGAAAATAACATGGAAAACAACATGATATGTACCCATTCAGCTTAGTGAAGCAGCTTAAAATAAAAATAAGAAGACCCCTTAAAATGGCAAGCACCAAAAACACTACTGTATGCAACTCAGAACCAAAATATTTATGTTTCTTTAACAAAACCAATTGCATGATCTAACAACAAATCAGAGAATCCTTCAACAGTAGGGCCTCCTACCCTATCGATAGTGTCATTTGTGATCAAATTAAAATAAAAAGCACGCAGAACATATAATTTTTAATATAAATTTAATACCTAAAAAATAGAGACATAGTGATACTTCATTTTTACAGGTCCTACTGTAGAAATCTCTAAATGAAAAATAACATCCAGCTTCTTTTGTGAGCAACTATTTTAGTCAAAATGAAAAGTAAAATTAGAAGTGATAAAGAGCAAGTGTTGATGCTTGAGAGTATAAGGTTCATAATTATAATAATATAGACTTAATTATAGTTAACCATGTTTTTAAAGTAATCAAGCAACGTATGTCCCAAACAATGACATAAAGAGAACTATCTTCTATAATATTATGAATGGAATAACATCAATATGTGCAAAATACAGCTAAATAAATCTTTATTACAAGTGGTTCATTATTTAAGTTAATTCTTATATGCTTGGACCAATCTAACAACCTCATTAGATTTCATTAACATAAAGAGCATTAATTAATGTGTAAAGTAATGATAATTGAAGACTTAAGCCACAATGAGGTGTTGAATTTATTAATATATGATTCGGAGCTGGCATTTTTTTATTTTCTGGAGATTTTCAAAACTAAGCTTTGTCTTTTTGTTGGTGGGGGTTTATCAAATTGTTCCGTGTGTTGATTCCTTTGTCATTCTTCGTAGAAAAACAAGCAGAGATTTTTTTTTCTTTTTTCTTTTTTTCAGGTAATCGATGTAGTGTGTGGGACCTAGAAGAAAACGTTTCAAAAATACGCAGCCGAAAGAATGATGTGACTAAATCACAGTTCTGATCTAGAGATATGGGCTCCACAATGAACTATTAAAATATTTTAAATTCAGAGATGAAGAGAGGAAAGTTGAACGAAAGAGAGATCTATTATTAATTCCTAAAAAAAAAAAGTAGTATTTACGGTGAAATAAGTTATTTTATTTTATTAGTGGAGTAAATACTTTTACTGTTAGATTAATTCAATGATCAGATTGGAGCTGTTTTATGAGGCGTATTGTAATTTTTTATACAGATTTGTACATGTATAATTGTTAAAAACTAATGTAATGGTTGAAAACACTTGTCTTATTGGTTTAGCAAAATAGTTGGACTTGTTCATTTACATTTAACTTAAAAGAACTTTTGAACTTAAGTTATAATTTTATTTAACTACATATTCTTTTATAAAATTTGAGTTTGAATTTGAGTTTTAACTTGAGTTTTTGGTTAAAATCTGAGTTTAAGTTATCTCTTCAACTTAAGTTCTTAAACTCAAACTCAAGTTAATAAATAGTATTTTTTCTATTCTTAAAAATGTCATAACTTTTTCGTTTTAATTCTGATTGAGATGATTTTTTTTTCATGCGTTCACAACGAAAAGACGAATAAAATCTCACACATATACCTTATTAAAATTTTTTATCACCATTGAGTTTTTATTAAAATACTATTTAAATATAAATTCACGTTTTGACCCACTCAAACACAAACTAAAATAGATTCTCAATTCAAACCAAACTCAAAATGTGCACATCTAAACACAAACTCAAATTAGAGTCTCAACTCAAATACACCTTAACTCATATCAAGATCTAAACTCAAGTCACCCTAACTCAAAAAATGCAAATGAACAAGCC